ACAATGATGATGATGATAATACAAATATTTTCAAGATTAACAATGATGCTTATGAATCCAAAGATCATCAGCAGTAATCATACATTTTCAGTTTCCCCCTTTTTTATTAAAAAAAATATTATTCTATTCTAATAAAAAAAAGAATGTCTTCTTGCTTGAGATGTCATACAATCATTAAAGTATGAATGTTGCTGAAAATTCTCAGCCTGACAGTTTCCAAAATGTTAAACATGAAAGTTTATTCTGGAATTTCATCTTGAATTATGGTTGAGCTGATGACACCAGTATTCCTCTGTGTGTGTGTGTGTATGTATATATATATATATATATATATATATATATTTATTTTGCAAAACACATGCCTGAAGTTTGTGTTCAAGTATGATCCCTGATATTGAGCCCTTTTACCCAATGAATACACCATACCTTAAAATTAAAGCTATCATTATGTGTGTGTATATATATATATATATATATATATATATATATAAGCTTAAAAGCTGCCTTATCAGATTGTATTTAAGCTAGCTTCCGTGGAAGTCTCTTGGTAGGTATGAAAGATTAGATTCAATAGGCAATAATAAACTACACAATAACTCAAAACTGATCACTGCATTAAATTATTGCATTAATATTTAAGTTTATTGCTCAACAATAATTCTTCTGTTGCAACTTAGTTTGATGTACGTAGGTCCTTACTTTCCATATAAACAATTAGTTTTATTTCATGAGTGACTTATGCTGGATTTCACAATTAATTTCAAATATTCCTGAATTTATTTCTAAGTTATAAAGACTGTTATTATACAAAAAAGCTTGCTGCCAAAAAAAAAAAAAAAAAAAAAAAAAATCAAGTAAAAAATATTGCCAAATACAATTGCAGTAATGAAAACTTGAGAATACAAAATTTCAGGATTGTATGTCTGGATCCGGCCCAGAATGTTTCTGATTTGTCTATGGAGTCAGTTTGATTCTAAAATGGTATATGATATGCTGGTCTACAGCCTCTTGGAATAAATTGAAAAAGTGTGACACACTGACATTCTCATTTATTATATAGATATATATTTCATAGCTTAATGCTTTTCTTTAACTAAATTTGAACACAGTTTTCACAAGTGTTATTTATCAGTCTGAGATTTACCAGATTAATGGCAAATGATTGATTTGATTAATGGCATATCAACTCCTTTATGGGTCATCTAATACAGAAATTTAATTTTCTTGTGAGCTTTGAAGTAATAAAGACATGATGTATGTTATTTGGCTTTCACAACTGAATACATGGTAGATGATACTCAGCTTTTGTTCCTATACATGTTTTTATGGGTATAATTACTAGAGGCAGTGACATGTGTGATTTGAGCTCTAATTTCATTGAAGTTATATTTTGCAATACAGTTTAAGTAATTATAGGATATTATATGGATTAAACATAAATAAAAATGTCTTTAATAAATAAATTGTCGGACCTCGTCCATTTCTTAACATATAATAAAGAATGTAAAAATTGGGATTTTCTTATTGTCTCATGTCAGTAGATTATTTTTGCTGTTCAGGTAAACAAATTCAAAATTATTTTTACATCTCCAATCTCCATGTTGACTTATGGTTGTAAAGAAATCTTAAAAAAAAAAAAAAAAAAATCACTTCTTGAAAGTTTGTGATTGGTTGGAATTTAATTGCTGATTGTTTTATATTGGCCAAGTATTGACAATTCAATAATAAAAATATTGATTAATTATGAACTCATCCGCACTGACCTGCACAAAAATATGCTTGAGATTTCTCAATTCATTCAATTATTTTTCAATGCCCATAAATTCTATTTTTATTTATTTCCATTATCAACATGGATCCAAAAATCAGTTAAAAAAGGTAGGAAAAAAAAAAGAAAAACAACCCTACAAAAAAAACCAAAAAAACACACATTCAAAGTAAGACTAAAAATAATACCAAAGTGTAAATATATTCAGATACATCTGTTTAATAGAATGTATGTATTTATTGGTTTGATAAGCTTGTCCTTGGTATGACAATAAACTACATCTGGCAGCAAGGCCTCTGATCAAGAGTTTTTGACGAGCATGCAACCACCACTAAGTGCTGTTGTTCCAAGGTCCACCCTGACTCAGGGTGGTAGCATCTGTTAGGGTATCAGCTATAAGCATATAGTTAGCCCCCAAGTATAAAAATATATTTTTATAGCAAAAATAACAGCAATACATTTTCAGAATAAGAAAAAAAAAAAAAAAATTACTAGCAATAGATTTTTGTAAAAAATTATTAATGCTCACAAGAAAATTAAATTTTGGGATTAAATGACCCATTTTCCTTTCATATAAGTACCCTGATATGCTGCTAAATAAACAACAAAAACATTTATTAAGCAACTACATTGAAACATTATCTCATAAGAGATAAAAGATATATATATATATATATATATATATATATAAATAAAATTAAAAGTGACCATTGAGACAACACCCAGACAGTGTGTGTTTCAAGCTTAAATGCATTTAAGTATGAAATAGATTGTCATAAGGTACTGACTTCAATGTTCACTTTCATATTTACATGTGTTCTGTCCCTGATACTATGAACTTTAACCCATAAATATACCATATCTCAAAACAATAATATATATATATATATATATATATATATATATATACACACACAGGCAGTGTAAATGCAAAATTGTATAACAGCATAATTATCCATCTCAAAACATGTTCAATATCTAAAAAGCCACTAAACGAATTAAGTTTCTTTTTTCCAGGTACCATTTTGTCATAAAAATCAGCTAGAAAGAGAACAGGTTAAAAATATTTTGTGTCAGTCCCACTATGTCTTCCCAACTGAGCAATGGTGAGAGGAGAAAGATGATTCAGGCCTTCAGTAATGGTAGCAATATTCACCTATATTTCTGAGATGAGGTATTATGTACATTATTTAAACCATTTAGGACTACCCTGATGATGACATTATGCTTTGTTGAAAGTACTCAGAATAAATACAATATGAGCCAACACAGTGTTTTCCTCTCATCATTTAACAACCACAAAAGCTTATCCACGAATATGAAAGGATCCTATTGAGAATAAGTAGACCCAACTTATCTAAATTATTTAATGAAACCTGCCTTAATGAAAATATACTGCCGATATATATATATATATATATATATATATATATATATATATATATATTCAAGATACCATGAAATGTTTGTTTCTACTGTTTGTGTATTAAAACTCATTAGCAGTTAGTAGTAATTCAAAACCAGCATAGAAATACAATACAATGTTTTGTGATATACTTTTTTAGTACTGTGTTGGGGATATCATTTCACTTCATCTGTACCACAGATTAACAAAGTAAAATCAAAATGTTACTGTGCAGAAAAATCAGTGTCTTTATATTCATTTGTTTCCAGTCAATTACATTTTCAAATTTTTCCCTAAATGGGCCAGCATAGCCAGGCAACAATGCAGCAGTGAAAGTGTTAAAAATATCAACTTACTGAGCATCTCAACAAGAAATAATCTGAATTAATACTGAATAAAAGGACATCAAAGCTTGAATTACCCTATAAAGAGAGCCTTCTGTCATGTTTTATATATATATATATATATATAAAGAAATATAGTTTTAAGCTGTGCTATATTTATGGGATAAAGTTCTCAATATCAGAGACAGAGCATATGTAAATATAAAAGTAAACATTGAAGTCAACACTCAGAGGTGAAAGGCTGTGATCGTCAGACCACATGTTGGTTTTTTTTTCTTAACTATATATATATATATATATATGGGTTAGTGGTGCATTGTGGGTAGTTCGTTCTGATGGTTATTTTATAATAGTGAATAAATAAATAAAATAAAAATAAAAAAACAAGTAAAATAAATTAACCCAAATAAATAAATAAACAAACCACTCCCACCAAAATAACCATGAGAACGGACTACCCACAATGAACCACAGACCCATATATATAGTCAAGAAAAAACCCAGCACATGTGGCCTACGACTGCATCTGGCATGAAACAGCCTGTCAACTTTGAGTGTTGACTTCAATCTTCACTTATATATATTATTTATTTATTAGATAACTGACTGTGTTTTATATTGTTTATATGAAGTTACAAATAAATATACTTTGCCTCTATTTGATAAATCCTTTCACTTCCAGCTTTATTCATAAAATAAATCAAAACATTTTTCTTGTTTGAATTCCGAGTTGTAACAATCTGTATCCAAAAATGAACTCTTGAATATCATTAGTTGGCACATAGTGTGCCAGTGTGCAATGCCAGATTCAAATAGCACTACTCAAGCAATCTCAACAGATTTTGACTTTCCATCATCTTTGATTGATATCTTTCCTTCTTGTACGATTGGCGTTGTCATCTTCCGAGTGAAAATCAGCAACCAGACAGATTTTGATGCATTTCTCTCCATCATAGCATTTCAGTCAAGTTGATTAAAATTCAGGGTGAAGGAAATAAAAGTATCAGTGTTGAAATTGGAGGGAAGCTAAGCATGTGATTTCAACTAGGATTTTCAAAAATTTGTTTTTCATCGATGGAGTTTGAGGATATTGACTGGTTTCAGATAAATCAAGCATCGACCCCCAAAAATTTGATTGACTATGGATCAGTACCAAAACTGAAATTATTTTTTCTTAAAACAGGAATCCACTGAACAAGCTCATGTCAATACTGACAAAGGTAATTTTAGTCAAGTAAAAGAACAGCAAAATTATCCAATAGGAGGCAAGGTTGAATAATGGAGAACAGCTCAGATTGAGGAATCTGAGAGCAGAGTTTGAATTCCAGTCAAGTTCATTACATTTACTTATGTGCAAATACCCTTTGGAAAGATATGAACACATCTCTTCTCTCCCCACCTATTGGTAAATCGCAAGACAGACTGGGTCCTATAGCCAAACATGGCAACCAGTATAGAAGGAGGACAACTCTGAATTCAAGGCATGTGTCCATATCATCTTGAAACACCAGTTCCCGTATGATAACCAAAGTTAAGCAACATAAAGCCTGGTCAGTACTTAAATGGGTGACCACTTAAGAATATCATGTACTATAAGCTTGGATGCGTGGGTGATGTAATGCATAATGGCTCATGATTGTTAACCAGAGCCAACCTCCAGTTCCATTTGGATTCATTATATTCATTTACAGGCAAATACCGTTGGTAAATGTATGAATCCACCTCTTTTCTCCCCCAGCTATAGATTAATTAGTAAAAAATGTATCAGTAAATAATTACTCTCTCAAAAAATTCTTAGAAACTAAAAATATTTTCTGGATTTAAATAACCTGTAAAGTGTTGATATGCTATGAATCTATAAATCAACCATCCATCCATCCTTGCATGGAATATTGGTGTCATATAGGGTCTGGATGTCCTCGACAAAATCCAGAGACAGATATGCAATGTGATAGGTCCTGATCTGGCATCTAGTCTACAGTCGCTTTCTCACAGATGTGCTGTGGCTTCCCTCTGTCTCTTTTATAAGTATTTTCACAGCAAGCAACTGTTCTCATGATTTGCTTTCGCTGGTTCCTAGATTGCATGAATTTAAGTGAGCTACTAGGTTGGCATCTCAGTCCCATCCTTTCACTGTTGAAACAGTTAAATGTAACCATCTCTTCTACTCAAACAGCTTCTTCTCTTGCACTTCCTGTCTGGAATTGTCTTCTTCTTACTTGCTTCCCTGATAACTATAATCTTCAAATATTCAAGTGTAATGTCAATTGACATCTTATGATACCTTGATCTTGTTACCCGTCATTCTCTTTATCCTCTCCCCAAACACCCCTCTTTACTCTTGTTCTCTACCCTCTGTAACTTCTTGCGTGCTAGTGGAACTCCCACCTTGCTTGGGGTGAAATGCTTAAAAAAAAAAACAAAAAAAAACAAAACAAAAAAACTGCTGTACAATCAAACTCTGAATTCAAATATTCCAACTATGGGTTAAATAGTAAGGCAGTCTGAGATTTGTAGTTTTGGTTGACAGCCAGTGTAGGAGAATGGAAACTCTGAATCTAAAATACTATGCAGATGAGTTAAGGATCATGGAATTTGCATTGACTGAATGATCCCAACTCAGGTCAACCTTTATCCATTCATCCAGTGAATACAGATTTCACTTAAAATCACCGATAAGACTAACTTATTATTATTTCAGTTGACATAGGGGAAAAGAAGAGCAAATATTTAAGTAAATTTCTCATTCCACACTATCCTTTGCCGAAATACTTAATTTGTTATAAACAAAGAAATCTGTACTCAATTGTTATCTAATATCAATCCTCCTTTATTGAGATTTACTAAGCATAGCTTAGATGTGGCACAAGGCTGAAAGCAAAGAGGACTTAGTGAGAATTGAACACATTATTCAGTTGTAATTGATCTAGTGAGACAAGCTTGTTAACCATTACAACACTTCAAAGTGCCCCTTTATAATCCCATCCTCCCAGCTGAGAAAATTAAATTGATCAGCTATTAACATGGTTTTGGAGGAAAAAAAAAAAAAAAATAAAGTATTTATATATTTTTCTTTATATCTTAAGTGGAAATTTTAATGTAAATATTCAAAACATGTTTTCCAAGATAAAGTACAATATATTCAAACCTCATTATGTTTAGTGAAAGAGAGTATCACCTACCTTGAAAAAGAGTTTGTGTTTTGTGTGCGATCTGCCAAAGAAAGATTAAAGACAAAGTAGTTAGCAAAAATCTACTTTAAGTATCAGAATCTATGCCAATGTTCTTTCCTCTCCTGAATAGCATGGCCAATCAGAAAAATCACTCAGTGAATAAAAGCCATTGTTTTTTGCTTACTGAAAGACGATGTTTCTGAGCTTGGTGGACAAATGTGCGTTTCTGCTGGTGAAAAGGGAAGGTTGGATTTGTGATCCCATTTTGTCATTACTACATTGCCTGTTGGACTTTTATGACTGACTCATTTGAATTGTGAATTGGCTACAAGTGTTGTAGACAACAGACTGAAGAAACCTATTGAAAGCATTTATTGCTACAATAAGTTTACAGGTTTTTTTTTTTTTTCTTTTCATTATATTTTAAGAAATTGGTAGTTTCAACAGCTGTAATAAAAAATTAGACTACCTTTTACAGGTAGTGTAATTTAAAAAAATTTTTAAATCATTTCACCCCAAGCAAGGTGGGGATGTCACTAGTATGCAGTGTGTGTGTGGGGTGTTACAAGGAGTGAAAGTGAGAGAAAAGACTGAGTACAGAGAGGATTGAGGAAAAGGACAAAAGATGAATGGGATTCAAGAAGATAGAAGATGATGTGTGACATTGCATTTAAATTTTTGAAGATTGTAGTTATCAGGAAAGCGAGTAAATGGAAGGAAGTTCAAAAGAAGGGCAGTGAGAGAAAAGAAACTGTTTGAGGAGTGGCGGCTGCATATAGTTATTTCAACAATAAACGGGTCAGACCATGGTTCCAATCTAGTACCATGCTTAAATTCATGTAGTCTGGGTAAAATAGAAAAAAGCACATCAGAGGACTTGCCATGAAAATATTTGTAGAAAGGATAGAAAGAAACCGCATTATGTCAGTGAGAAAGTGACTGAAGTTGAGATATCAAATCAGGATTGATTACATTACAGAGCTTTCTTTGGATTTTGTCAAGAACCTTGAGATCAATAGCAGGAGTACCACACCAAATATGGCAGCAGTATTCAATGCATGGATGAATGGTAGATTTGTAAATGTGCAAGATGGACAAGAAAAATTCTGATATGAAGTGACCTAAGTTTCCTTGGAGGAGATGCAGCTATTGTGTAATGACTAAGAATAAGAAAGTTCAAATTCTGGTCAAGTTGGCTGTAGTCAGTTTTGCACAAAAAATAATAAGAGAGGTATGGATATATTTCTTCTCCATCTATGGGTTAAACAGCAGGGACGACTGAGCTCCCTAACTGTGAATGGCAAATACACGAGGAATAAATCCAAGCTTCAGCCACCTCATATTGTGCCAATACGTTTAGATATCACATGCAGATGTCTGTAAAAAAAAAAAAAGAATGGGCAAGAACATCCACTTTCTGACCATGTAGATGCCAATTTTATTATGGCTGATTTATAAGGAGGGTAATTTCTTGATGAAATCCACCCTAGGGAGGTAATTCCAGCATTTGGAATCTTTGGAAAATGCCTGAAAACACTGCAAGTGGTTGACCCAAGTCTCGAGTGAAATTGTCTAGAGAGAACATCCATCTGTATTTGTACTAGAACAAAGTCACAAGTCATTGCAACCGAAGGTTCAAGTATACTGGCCTTGTACAAACTGTTGATCATGACAGATTATGCACTAAAAATTTATTAGGCTAAAAAGTTGTTTTCCTTGTTATGCCCTGCTGAAATGTTTGGGTAAGTCTAATATGATCTTTGTTTTACAGCATATCAACCTCAATGGGTTATTTAATGCCAACAAGATTTTTATTACTGGTAATATTTCTTTTCCAAAAATGTATTGCTGGTAATCATTTTTTCTTCAAAAAATTCATTGCCGGTAATAAATTTTTTATAAAAATGTATTTCTGGTATTAAAACCTATTTTTACACTTTTATAGTGCTTAGACCCCAGTTTGGGTTTTAACTATTTGCCCATAGCAGGGACCCTAACGGGTGCTACCACCACAGATCAAGGTAGACCTGAGAACACCAGAAATTAAGCTGTGGTCCATGCTCCTCAAAACCTTCCAATCAAAGGCTTTGCTGTTGGATGCAGTTTATCATCAGACCCAGGATGGGTTTAATATGGCTCCTGCTTCTTATGAAGTAAAAAACAAACAAAAAAAAAAAAAAAAAAAAAAAAAAAAAAAAAAAAAAAAAAAAAAAAACAAACAGACAGATATAGATAGTTTAGATATTAATATTTTCATCTGTTTCACTTATTTTAAAAGATAATATATGAGAGAACCTTAGTCTTCTTGTTAAGAAAGTTAAGATCTGCTGGGCATATAGCTTTTTACTAAGAAATAAATGCTTATGGCTACAGATTGCAATGTGAATCCTATTCCAAGATAAAGACAACTATATTTTCTTCTGCCTAATCTTCTTATGTCCCATGATAAACATACCTAAATTGAATACTGATAGCAGACATCTTTGTTTTAGAGCTAATGTTACATTTGCACATGTGAATCATTGATACTAATAATTTGATTATAATCTTGAAAGCTATCTATCATGTAAAGTTAATGCAGTGGAGGATGAATTTCAGAATAGATTCACTAACTGGATAGCATCCAGTTTCTTCTCTGCTCCTCACGCTTTCACAGAGACACTGCAGTAACTTGCAAAATTAATATTCTTTAAATTGACTTTAATAAATCTCTACTTTCTATCTGTTAAAAGCAACAACAGATATAGCAGCCATTTTAGCTACTGCTGTTATAAAATAAAATAAGACATATCTCGGCTGATTTGCAGGCAAATAAACTAACATACTCAAGAGCGAGAACCGGATGTGAACGGGACAAGGCCCCATCACAAAATGACCATTATCGTCGTTTGTGCATAGGCCCGACGCATGAGTTCCGGTCAAAAAATAAAATAATATTCTAAAGTGTTTCTATTTTTCAACCAATAAAAATACTTCCCTCCTAATTATACTTGCGTCATTTTACGAGCATGTTAAGCCATAAAATACACCATAAAAGGGGTCACACAGAGAAGTACTGGCAGTCAACAGGAGGCCAGGGAAGAGATCAGTCACGGTCAGTCTGGGCAGTCAGCAGGAGGAGCACCACGCCAACCAGTGAGAACTACTATGAGAGATCAACCCAGATTGGCAGCCGGCTTATGAACTATACCACAAGGTAGCTGTCCCAAACCCACATGTTCCTACTGAAATAAATCATGTAAAATTATTTCTGCTGTTGTCGTATTTCTTTCTTGCAACCATACGCTTGTCTATAACACTACTACCTGGGTTACTTATATAATTGAAGAAACTACAATCAGTTTTTCAATAACAAGAACCCAGTTAAGATGGCTATCAATGGACCAGTACAAGTAGAGTTGGATTCATGCCTTAAGGGT